ATTCAGGGAGACTTCATTCATTGTAGGCCATCTTCATAACAAATACTGGAAGACATAATATAGTACAAAAGAACAATTAGTGACAGGTGTAGTTTACTTCCTTGGGACAAATCCTATGTTCAAAGCAAGGCTTAATCAAATGCACTGAGCTAGTATTGCTCTGTAAAGGTTTGGTTCAGTGTTTTTCTTTAGTAACAAATGAAATTAGAATGAATGCCCTTTGATGTGTGGGTTACTGAATATTTCTACATATAGCAGGTCTCTTGAAATTTCTAACAAATAAAATTTGTTCTTGAGGTTTGCAGGAAAATTAATTTCACATAGAGTATGATTATTTAACCTGGAAATTTTAGACTGTTTACAAATCTTGGCTTTTACCCAATTCTTTATATTCTGTTGGGAGTGATTTCTGAGGTGAGGAGATCTGGCTGAGTTTATCTAAGGGTGGATGTGGGGATGTGGAACTATGTAACAATCCCGTCTTCCTGATTATCCTGCTTGGTGTATTTATAGGGAGATAATGGTGGATGTGTCTTGATTTATCTTCTGCTTTGCATACCCATTTTCGTAACAAGAAATCAGATGTTTCCCAAAATCTTCACTTTTCAAAGACATGGACTGACAGAGGGTGACAAACTCAATTTAGACAGACAGAAATTATTCACACTTATTAATTATTAACAGCCACTTTTGTTTGCTGTTCCCTGTAAATCTTAACCGCTGTTGTTTTTGTTTTCTTTTAGTTTTTGGTTCAAGCTTTGCTATGTTAGTACTATGATGTCTGGCCTCTGTTTGAAAATGAATTACAGTAAATGCTGTTGTTAGCAGAGTCATTTCTGCTTCTACTGGCTGTAACAATCTTAAAGGATGTTTTCCTGTGGGTGTGTGTTTCCCTGGGTTAGGAAGAAGTCAAACTTATACTTCAGTGGAGTGTGCAGATAACTATTTAGTTCTATTCCAAAAGGCTGATAAAATATTGGAAGACAACCAGAGATGAGCATAGAATTTCTTCAATATTTTTTGAGGAAAATTACATGTAATCACTCTTATAACTTACTCTCAATGGATTATTTCCTGTTTAATTCTCTCCTCTATTTCAATTCTATTGAAATTGAAGATATGATAGATATTTTTCTTTCTATAAGGTCTTACAAGAAGTAAGCCTATATACTGTCTGCGATTTTTCACCTTTCTCTTCGTGTCAGTAGTGATAGATTCTTTTATCTGTCCCAAAGGAGAAAAGAATCCAGAGTCTAGTAAATGCATAATAGAAGCAGAAACATTAACCAATGATCTAAAAACTTAAATTATCTAAAATGCTTAAAGAAAGTCTAACATTTTAAACTACAACTAGTAGCTTTTACAGCTGTGTTCATTCAGCCATACAAATTATTCATTGCATGTGTTAAACTGACAATCTGTAAATAACTCTCTGGAATTTACTTGAGAAAATCTTGACTTTGAAGATGTTAAATTTTCTAACTGCTAGATTCACAGGTTTTTCACCTGGTGGTATCCTAAAAATCAAAGAAGGGAACTCGTTCTGTCTATTCCCATTTTTAGCTAAGCTGAGCAGCAAAACAATTAACTTGAGATAGCAATTGATTCCAGGACAGTGTACCTGGAAAAAACTCAGCAAGTACCAAAATCTTGCAGTTGCCCAGCCTTCATCTTGTGACTCTTCTTGAACTAAAGCACATTTCTTAAAATACTTATGGACTTTTAGTGAGAGAAATAGTGAGCTGATGAGAAGCTTGTCTTGGATGGCTGCTGGTTGCTTCTCATGACTCCAGAATCCTTTGAGAATGCAAAGGGATTTTCCTGTTTGGATAATTTTGTTTTTCTAGTCAAGAGGAGGAGCAGAAAATCAAGGCATTAAATCCAGTTGTCTCAGTTCTATGTGGAAAACTTGTTCCATCAAGTTATTATGTATATTTTGGGTATTGTAAGGTGTATGTTTTGCAAGATGTAATTTGCAGAAGAATGAGTGTGGGAAGGTGTCAGTTAAGCATTTTATTAATTTTAAAATTGTTCATGGGGATGTATAGGTGAGTTCTTTTTTTTTCCCTCCCTTTCTGTTCAAGTAGCATTCAAGGATAGGGTAATCATGTAGAAAAAAGCTATTTTCAAGCCTTTCTTACATGTGCATGTCTAAAATCAAACAACTCAAAATGACCAGGCAGAAGTGGTGTTCTGTCTTTCTTGGTTGGTTGTTATTGAGGGGGAGGTTGGGGTTGGTGTTGAGGTTGAGAGAAAGGAAGTCCCAAAACACCATCAAATGAACAGTGAACATTTAGTTCATGAATCTGCAGTGTGATGTGAGAACTTAGCCCTGTGCCAGTTCTTTCCTCACTTCTGGTCCATCTTGAATGTGTTAAAAGGAGACATTATCTACAGAGATGGATGTCAGCTTACACGTAGTGCTATGGCAGGGTGCCCAGGTGGAAGTGCAGGCCACTTCTAAGTCTTGCACATGTCTGTAAATTGAAATGTTTTGAATAATTAAATAACATAGCTGGATATAAAGCCATTTGGTACTGGATGCTATCTTCATTATCAAGAAGAACTGACAATGTGTTTTCTTCGTATATATTCATTTCAGATTTCTTTGGTGTGGATTTGTATAACTGTTCTTCCATTCCATGTTGTTTTTTTCTAAAATCTTCCTATATGCAGTCAAATAAATGTGGTGGTAACAGGTAATGCATGTAATAACATCAGAGGCACCCAAATTCTCAGAGCTCTTAAGAAGATCAAGAGTGTTTTTTTGTATGGGTAGAAACTACACTGGGAATACCATGTTTTCCTTTGTAGGCAGAAGGTGATTTATTTTGTGCTGGGGAGAATTTTCAGCTTTGCTAAATGTTCTTCACAAGTATTTTGTAGTGTCAGCTGTCAGTAACATCAAATGATATTCCTACTAATAGGCATACCTGGCCATGTGCACTCAGTCTCTTGTCCCAGGAGATATTCTGGCAGCAGGAGGTGCTGTAGTTTGGTGGACTGTAGTTTTTTCTTTCATCTCATTACTTGTAAAATAATCCAGATTTCATTAAGCTTCAAGAAAAAAAAAAAAAAAACAGTTTTGAATACATAATAGAGGGGGGAGGAAAAAAGCATCAGTTTTTGACATTTATTTCAACAGTAGGTCTTGAAAATGAGGTTTTAGTACTGTTTCCAAGGATTAGATTTAAGAAACTCTTACTTGGCACAACTTCTTTCCTCTGCCACTAGCATAAGATGCAAGTAGTCACTGCAGATGAAGTCATTTTAGTAAGAAATAAGTCTGGTTTTGTTTTGCTTTTTTCAGTCAATGGAAGATCTGAAGTATTTGGTATTGGGTATGTTCCTAAAGAATTAACTTTGTCTTTGATTTTTGGGAAGGTAATGCTCACCATCTGAGTTGGTTGCTGAAGGGGTAGAGTTTGCAGATTGCTTGACATAGTTTTCTTCCATGTAACTACAGTTTTTTTATAATAAACTAGAATCCAGGTGTTTCCTTATGTGAGATATTAACAGCAATCCTAAAAATAGGAAATTATTTTATGTAGCTTATGCTTTAAAAATAAAAATTCAAAGGTAGTTTGGCTTGCAACAGAGAGCAAATACGGAAAACCCCAGCATCGGCTGGAGGTATTGTAAGCTGTGTTGGGCACCCTGCCTGGCTCTGGCTGAGATGTTTGCTTGTCTGTAAGGCTTACAACAAAGAAGGCTTACAGCTGGCTTATGTCCAGCATAGCTGCACTCCTGCTACTGCCTTATGCTGGTGCATCAATGCTCCATCTGATGCTGGAGAGGTTTCCTGGCGTGCAGCAGTGTGCAGGCTGTAAGCTGAGGGAAAACAGAAGAGGCAGTCTTGGATGTATTTTTGCAGTGTCAGATGAACCAATAATCTTAATAAACAGAGGGCAACTTTTGATATGGACTTCTAACGAGCTCCCCAGGATACAGAAGTGATCACTAATTAACTTCATGTCGATCTTTGATCCTTACCTGGGTGAAGATGCTGAAACAGATGTTTCCAATAATTAGAATTGGTTCATTGTATTATTTCTTCCACTGATCATTGAAGAATTCTAATTCTATCTTTTGGCACACTGTGCTAAGAAATGTCCACTGATATTGCAAATTAATATTCATCTCTGAAGATACAGACATGGAAAAGGGTATTTTGAAGCTTCATTTTGCTCTGGAATCTCCTGCTTTGATTATTTTTTATTACGACTTCCCAGCTTCAGCTTACAAAGCTGGTATGCAGTTATGGGTTCAGTAGCAATAAGGCTGGATTGCTTTGTAGTGAGGAAAGAACTGAATGGGGCAAATAGATGAATATTTTGTGCTGGATATTTTTTTTTTCCCGAAATCCTGCAAGTGTGATGTTTCTGCTCATCTTAAGAGGCAGAAAACTTGTCAGTATGAGTGACATCAATTGCAATTTCCTCATTCAGAAGAAAAAAATAAAGTATGGGAATAAGGAATGGGGAACAGGGGGCAGAAAAGTTCCTGTTTTGACTTTGATTTGATGAAATGGTCTCACCTTGAGAAAAAAATGGTCTTCAAGAGCTTCTGTAACTTAATCTATTTTATCACTTATTTCTTCACAACTCTGAGAAACAGGCAAATGTGTGGCTTTAAAATTTTATGAAAAAACTGTTTTACAAACAGCTGCACTTACCGGATAATATCTGATAAGTTCGGCAATTAGATTCCTAAACATCTTAGCTAAGTAAAGACTGAAGAAAGGCCTAAAACAGCAAAAAGCTTGCATGTTTGCAGGCCTTCATTGATGTTTCGGAGACTGATAGCACATATTTTAGGTAGTATTCCTGTTACTGGCTTCAACTGTTAGGTTTTTGAACTTCTAATAGGTTTATTCTAAATGTAAGAATAACTGTTTTTTAATGCCTACATAGTAGGGAAAGCCTTAGAAAACCTTGCTGAAACATAAAGAGAATGTGTGGGAAGACTGTCATCCTAACTATTTGCATCTTATTTTTCAGGTCCGAAGGTGACAGTTCAAGAAGTGTCAGGTATGTGCACATCCCCCTCTTTCAGTTACATTGCATTAACTTTTCTAAGAAAATATTTTATTTAAAAAGCACAGTTTTAAGTGTAGAATGGAAACAGATGTACAAGTTTTTTTGTGTGATTATTCGTTCTACTTAGCATTCCATTTGTATTTTGAATAAAGGAGCTTCTATATTGGATGGATGCAGTACTGAATAATATGATATTCCTGAATGCTTCTATTTACAATACGGCTTAAATAAGACTTGCGTCTTAATTTTGGTAACTGCAAAATATCATTTGTAGTTGATTTACAGCATTTTAAATGAAAAAAAAATTAGCATACTAGATGCTCACTTGTTAACAAAGGAGTGCTGTAGCTGTCAATTGTTGGTGCTGTACTAGTGAAAGGGCACATACCTGTTTTGGTGTTCTGGCTTTCTTGGCAGTCTTCATTTCCTTATCTGACAGAGAATCTTCATTGACCCATTGCTACAATACACATTGTGCACTTGGATGATTCAGGTAGTTTAGAGAATTTAATGTAACTACTTGAACTTGATCAGTATTTTTCAAATGTTATTTCAAAGGTATTTTTTGAAGAAAATGTAGCTGTTTTAGTCAAACTTGTGGAACTTTGGGCAGTGCCCTACAAATAACTAAAATTACAAACCCATGTGCTTGAATCTGAAAGTCGTGTATGTATTAGAGCACTACAGTAAACTAGATCCCTCTTTCCCCCTTTCTTTAAAACTTTCAGTTTTGTCAGGATCATTGAACTTGTTAATTCTGATGGGATCTTCTTACCAGTTGTCATGCCTCTGAGCTATAAAGAGAAGTATTAAGATTGATAAGGAAAGAAGCATATCTTATGGGGAGCTTTGTCTTTTCCCCACCTTCCCAGCCTGTGATAAGCAGCTGGGGTTGTCAGGCCACACAAGTCTGAAGCCAAATGTGATTTACCTGTCACTTGGAAACCTTGAGCTCAGCTCAGGTTGCTCATGGAGTTGAATGAGTATAAGCTGACTCCAGACCTGAGAGACTGGCTTTGGATATCCAGCTCTTTTCACATTGGAATGGAATATCCACTATCAGTGATGCCGTAGTATTTCATACAGTTGATCAGCAGCACACGTTATTGCCTTTCTGGATTTGTTTTCAGTAGCTTTGTAACTTGTCATAAGAATGAAAATTTATATAAAAGATATTTTGAAGAGGCCTAAAATTCCTTAAACGCTGGATCTGGCTATGCAAGGGCAAGGTTGATGCAGTAAAGCAATGTGTTTGGAGATAAAATACTGAAACAGTTAAAAGAAGTAGATAATTAGCTTGACTTTTTTTCCTTGGTTTCCTCAATGTGACTAATAAATAATCCATTGTTTGTGTGAGTTTTTCAAATATGTTCAGCTTATAATATTGTGGTACCATAACAAACTTGCATTAGCTTCCTTTTGTTGAATGCCATTTAATTTTCAATTTTAGTATTTATGTTAAATCTACTACTTTGATAAATTGCTTTGAAAATTCTGTCTTCTCAGATATAATGAACACATGCACAGTGAGCTATGAAATTGTCAGTGTGGTGGTCCTTTTGAATTAGCTGCCTTTTTTCCTATGTTGTAGAAAATGTGCTTTCATTTACATGAGATTTTGATAATTAGCAGTATGATTAAATCATGCTACATTTGCACATCATCTATCACACTTTGGAAGACTAAGATGTTTTAAGGTATAGTAAGTAGAAGATGTTTCTCCTGCCTTTACAATGAACCTTGTGGGTTTAGTGAGCACAAGGCAACAGAATGAGAATAGAGGATTCAAGCAGGGACCACAAAGGGACTTTGAAGATCTCTTTTGAGATCAGTAAGCATCTCTGACTAGCAGCACCTCCAGAAATCAAATCCTGCACAGAAACAATACCTACATTCTGAGTCACATTTCTTTCCCATTCTTAGAATGTAATAGCCATTTGTTTTTTGATTTAAAGACATGAGATTTAATTGTTTCTGTCAGTATTCCTTTGCTGCTCTTCTGGCAGTAAAATAAGTAAGATGAAATATATCAGAGCTCAGTACAGCTACTAATCACAACTCCTTGATGTTCTCAGTACAGTAGTGTTTTTACTTGTCTCTTCAGCTGCTGTGAAAAATATAATTTCAGTCCAACCACTGGATTTGACCTATCTTAATATACTCTTGTTCCATCCTGATTTTGTATTTCTTAAAGGAGAAATGCAGTACAAAATGGGCTAACTATAAGTAACAACACTATACAACAGCAGGGGGCTGTGATGGAGCCTGGAGTGGGAGCTGTAAGGCTGTTGCCAAAAGGTGTGATGCTCTGTGTGTAGCCATGTAACTTAAACATAAAAGGTTGTTTAGGGCTGTGGTGCTGGTTTAAAAATATACGGCAGTTGAAGTTATGGAGAAAAACATCAGCTAAATGATTTAGCTGAGTCAAGTCTGTGACATTCTTTTAAAAATGTAAATAAATGGGGAATGCTGAAAATTTATTTTTATCTGTTGATGATCATGCAAAAAGGCTAAGTAAAGATGTACATTAGATTAAGTGAAAAACTACTAGTTTAATATACTTTAGCAAGGGGAAGAATTGTAGAATATCAGCTTCACTATGTGCTGGGTGGAGTGTGGGAGGAATGGCTTTTAAACATGTGGATAAAACATCAGTAACTGAGCCAAAGAGAGGGAAAATGCAGCAGAATCAGAGGGGCTTCCCCACATTTTCAGTAACATCTACCTGAACTCAGACTCAGCCCTCTCTCTCTGATAACCTGCAAAGTATAGATTTGGGGGAATTGAAGTCAGACTTGTGAAATCCATTTTCAAGTTCAAATGGCTTTGCAATCTAAATGGACCTTTCCTGGAAGCTTTTAGTTCTCGTGTAAACACTTTTCTAAGTCATTAGAATTTTCTTAACAACTGTGAGAGGAACTCAAAACAAAAATAAGTATTTTTAATTAGTTTATTTAAACATATTTTTAAATTTAATGCAGTCCGCTGTCAAATAGTGCAGTGTAAGTAAGAGTAAAAATAGGAAAACTCCCATGAATTATATTTCAAACACCATTTTACCACTGGTGAAAGTTACCTTGAAATGAACTGCTAACACAACATGGGTATTGTGATGTGGTACTTGGATGTAATATGAATGCCTGACCGATACAAAGTGACTTTGCAATACAAACAAACTGTATTAATGGTGATTAGCTTATAGTTTGAGATTAAAGAGGATTTTTCACTCTTCTCCATTGCATCGGTAAGGCTCGTCTCTGTAAGATGGCAACTACTAGTGTGCCAAGCAGCATGACCACCTAGAAGTTACTCTTTGCACATTTGATTTAACTCAGTGATGCAGGCTGCAGGTCGGTGTCAGTCATCTCCATCATCCTTCTGAGGGAAATGAGCAGTTTCCTGGCATGAGGATGGTTGGGCAAATGGAGATATGATGTTTGCAAGCTGCTGAGCTGGGAGAGGTGAAGGTGATGCTGCTTCATGCAATCAGTTGCCTAGCATTCCATTATTTCTAGTGCAATAGTATCTGAGACAGAAGTCTGGTCTGCACATTTTACCCTGCTGTTCTGGGTGTACTGTGCACTGATGTCATCAGAGACTTTGAACAGTAAAGTGCTCACAATTTTTTCCGTTCACTTACTCTAAGTGGAATACTCTAAGTGGCAAAGCTCTTCGCTCAAGAGCAAGCAATTGTATTCAGTATAACAAAATAACTTCATGGTGTCATTAGTGGCATTTTAGACACTTGAGTTTTAGGAAAATGGATTGTCAACTGCAACTAGGCTTTGATTTCCTAGTAATACTGAGTGCCTTAATTTTTTTTGAGTACTCAGTTTGAGGTGTTCTAAAACTTTCTGATTTTCAAAAAAGATCGAGTGTGTATCTCAGCAATTGGTGTAAGTGCTCTAAACTCCATACTGACTTGACAAGCAGAATTACTAATGTGGGGGCTGCTCCGAAACTAATGCCTCCTATTTTATTATGACCCATGTCTTAATGGGTGGATGCTGGGGGTATGGCAGAAGAGATTTAACCTTCCTGCTAATGTTTTGTTACATTTTGTTTTTTGTGCAACAGTTGACAGCAGAAGGGCAGTCACAAAATGCTGTCTGGCATGGAAGTGTGCGTGAAGCAACGGGGTGGTGCTGAATTTCTCCATGCAGAAAATATGGCACCCATTGACATTCATTGACACTTGATGAATGTTTATAGAGACCAAACATAAGTGAGGTGGTGGGTGGAGTGTTTTAGCAATGTTGTTGTCGTAGCAGCTGTGAAACCCATGTATCACCTCTACTGGTGCAGACTTTTATGAACATGGCATGCAGGATCTTTTTCGTTGCTGGCAAGAATGCAGAGCTAATGCTGGTGACAATGTTGAAAAATACTGTTTTGTTGCTGAGAATTTGCTCTATCAAACAGCGTTGTTATGCTTTTTGTGTCTGTTGCAGTTTCCATGGAAACAAGCAGGAGACATTACTTTCAGAGTGACCCATATATTTAAAAAAAAAAAAAAAAACCTAAAGCCTTGCTAGTCAACTATGGATGCTTAATCAGAATACTTTACCTTTTAGTGGCTGAAATAGTAGATGCTTTAACTAGTTGAATTTCAGAAAGTAGTCATCATTATGTGACTGAGAAGTATATATCCAACTCTATAGACCCTCTATTGCTTTTATTTATTCTCTGCTGGAAGAAGAAAAACACAGGATACCATTCTTTCTTGAGACAGTTCAATCAAGGGAGTGAGTTATGTGTCCTGCTTCCCAGGTGATACAGACAAAATCACATTATTCCCTCAAAGAATAACCTGTAACTGTATGATATTAGCTAGTAGGAGGAAGATGTGTGAATGGAGCTTCTTTAACCTGACAGTCCATTATTCTGTCCTTCAAATTGTTGGCTTATTTTTCCATGGACTGTTTTTCAGTGAATGAATAAACTTTAGGGAACTCAGTGTTTGATGACTCAAAAGCTTCAAGCACTGTAAA